AGTTCAGTCACATCTGTGTTAGGATCCGACCTTTACTTTTGGATTTGACCTTATTTATTTATTTATTTATTTTCTCAACTCTATTGTTGTTGCTTCAAGAACCAATCACAGCAGGCATCATGGGAGGGCGGGGCCTCACACCCTGGACAATTCAAACATCCATTCACATTCACATCTATGTTCAATTCAAAGTGCACAATTAACCGAATCCCCAATCTGTCTTTTTTTGGAAGGAATCGAACCAGCGACCTTTTTACTGTAAGGCAAAAACATTAGTTATTTTTGGTGCTTGCAATCTTCCAATCAAAATCCTTTAAGCCCCGCATCTCTCCCAAAACCCCACTGGGCCTCAGGTAGCCCCGTAGGTTCATTGGTCCACAGTTCATGTTTCTTTGCACATGCGACGTTATTTTGAGGAATTTCACCATTTCAATATTTTCCATCTTGACTAAAAACTGAGACATTTGAATTTTTAAACATTCTTCTAAAATTTTGTTCAGTTCAAACTCCTGTTCTTGCATCAGTGCTGGGTTCTTGGCCCGCCACGGATTCGGAATTCCTGAAAATGAAGGTCTCAGCAGACGGTTTGATGTGGAATCAAGATATAAATCACTCAGTTTGAAAACCTGAGTCTGGACCTCGCGTTGGATCCTTTCCCACGTTTACATCACAGGAAAGAGGGAAACTGCTTCCAAACGAAACGTTCCTGAAGGAAGAGCTAACGCGTTATGATGTCACGACCCAACACACTGACCTTAAACACACACACACACACACACAGAGCGAGGACTGTTGGAGGTCTGTCTGGCTGTATACTGACTTTACTGCCGTTTCCTTTTCCTCCTGAGTTGTTAAAAACACAGACACACCTGCAAACGAAACGCTCGCTCTCACAAACAGCCCAACGACAACGGATTTTCTACGTGGAGTCGATTTGGTTTCCAAGAAATGATTTGACTCTTGTTTTGTTTTTTGCTGTGATTTTGAAGTAAACGCTTCAAAACAACAGTAAACGCTGCAGTCGTGCTGTACGCAGATGATGTGACGCTGGTAACAACTCCCTCGTATTCTCCCCGTCTTCACTTATACTTTCATCTGTAAACTTTTTTTTTTTCGTCTCACATTTGAAGTTCTGTCTCCGTCCAGTGTCCGTCCACTCCTGGGCCCTTTTGTCCCCCCGGCCGTTCCAGACCAGACGGGGGCCAGACCACAAAACCGTTTACAAGCTGTCTGTCTGTCTCAAGTTCAACTGCAAAGTCCGACCTGGAGAAACAAAAAGACAAAGGAGGAGGAGGGGGAGGAAGAGGAGGAGGAGGAAGAGTGAGAGGGTGGTAAAATGGTACTGGGCTGCTACTTTGTGTGTGTTTGTGTGTGTGTGTGTGTGGGAGAGAGAGAGAGAGAGAGAGAGAGAAGGAGGGGAGTCTGTTGGACATGAACTTGAGACAGAAAAATGAGCCGCTGTCCTGCATTCCTGTTCTGAAATATAAAATCTACTCTGGGGAGCTGTGTGTGTGTGTGTGTTTGTGTGTGTGTGTGTCAGAGAGCTGGTACAGCCCAGTACAGAATAGAACAGAATAGAACAGAACAGACTTGTGTCTTTGACTCTCAGCAGCCACAGCTCGTCTGGTTTTGCCGTTGGCAAGAAAACGATCAAATGATCGAAATTACAAGACAAACTGATGGAACTGATTTATATACATATATATGAATATATATGTATACATATTTACTGCTGTTTCTCGTCAGTCACTCAGAGTTCAGTGTGACTTTCAGCTCTGAAACTTCTGACACTGTTGGTGCAGAACGGAGAGGAGCCGGAGCAAAAACCACAACAGGAAGTGGAGTCTGCTTCTGTTCAAAAACAGAGGCCGCATCCAAACAAAACATTACTCTTCTCCAGTGAGTGTTGTTGTTGTTGTTTTTTTTATTTTCACCGACTCCTTCACGGTGCAGAGGAAAGGCCACAACAACAAAACAGCATCACATACTGGACGGAGTGTCTGGAGGCTACGCAGCCTTCGGTTTCCATGTCAACAGAGCGACTCTGTGACTCTGTGACGTTTACAGTACACTGGAGTCACGTGTGTGTGTGTGTGTGTGTGTGTGATGGAATGCTATATTGTCCTTTTTGTTATTGTTGTGTTGGAGGGATGTGCAGCATCTGTACTGTCGTTACGGACCAGAGAGAAAACACGTGCACAGTCTGCCTGACGACCAAACATTTTCCTTCTTCATCAGTTCAACTCACAAAATTCTACTGCAGTAAAGTCACACAAAAATACTGAATTTAAATGTTTGGTTTACTTCATATTTTTATGACCAACCAATAGCTTTTATGAGTTTTTAATTAGTTTTTTTTCTTTGTCTCCATTATTGTGGAGTGGATTAGTTTGATCTAAACACCAAAAGTCACCAAATAGTAAAACTAACTATTTAAATTAATTTTCTGTAAAATATCATATAGAAAAATTATTTTTAAAAATAAATGCAATAATGCAATAAATCAAAATTGAAAAGAAAGAGCAATCTAACACATACGATAAACTATTACATCCAAATATATGCTAAAATATACCTTAATATGTTTTTTTTGTTTAATTTATGCATAAATTAGTTTGATGTTGAAAAAAAAAACAGTATTAAAAAGTTACGATATATCGTATTGTATTCACATTTCTATAGTGTCGTGGACTGGTCTTTATTTTGGTTCCAGTCAGCTGTGACGGTGCAGCTGGTATTTGGACTGAAGACGAGCTCAGGCTTTATGGGCTGCGAGGCTTCCGTCGCTATTGTTGGTTTTAAGGAGGACAGAGAGTCGGCAGTAAAGTGAGTCAACAGGCCAGAAACGGAGCGAACTGCCAAGTTCAATGTTAATGTTTAATGCACGCTCCCACGCACACAGTTGCCCCCTCC